CTCTCGCACTCACTCGCTCCCCGCCCCTCTCTCCACTCCGCGCCCGCTTTTATGGCCCATCAATCAGGTTGTTAACACGGGAGTAAAGCAGAGCGTCAAATTGTATTGTTGGTACAAGGCAGACTAACCCACCACCGGCAGCTGTAGTAGTGCGGGCTGCGGATTCACCCGACTGTGCAAAGCAACCAACTGAAAACGTATGCATTCAAGACGTATCGTGCACATTTTAAGGCGTATTCGCAAAGGGCTACAAGAAGAAAGATTTCCATTAAAACAGTATGTACGATTGTTTTCTTTGAACAAACGACATATGGGCCAGCAATTGGGGATAAGAAATTTGCAACCTTATTTATAACTAAATCACTTTTAAAACGTGTACAGTAAACGACAAATACAGCGTATTCAAGAACACCGACAAAAGACTTATTTACTGCTGATCCGAACGACACCAAACCCACAAACCAAACGGGGCGCACGAACTGTCCGTCGTCGTCGTCGTCAGGTACAATACGGCTGCGACGTAAATCCGAGCGCGAGACGTGAATGTGCGTATCAAACCTTTACGCAACGGCGCATGCGCGGACCTGCTCGCTGCGTGCGCACGCGCCGCGCACGCAGTGACCATATACGCGTCGGCTTGGCGCTAGTCCGTTTGTCCGACTTTATTGAATTGCGCGCGCTGCACGAGCTGCATTGGACGGATAAAAATAAAGCTATACGCACAGCACCGCCATAGAACAACAAAGCGAAAAGGTTTACGTTTAAAATGAAAACATAAATTATGTTGAATCTAAACTTCCTTTGAGAGTGGTTACGGTTTTATTTCAAAGAGGATTATCACGTTTTTCTGATTGACACATCAGAGCCTTCTTCGTTCTGCGGGTCGTCTCGTCGACTTCAAGAGCCGCCATATACCTCAAAAGGTAAAAAGAGGTAAATAAAAGATAAAAACAAGTTAAAAAGATGCCCGCGTACACCTGCTGGACGTCTACACGCGGCTGCTGCTGCGGGCGCTGCTGTACGGGGCGTCAAGTGGAAATGGTCCGGCGGCTGCTGCTTGCCGCCGCCGGCCGCCAGTCGTCGCCGCCGCGATGATTTTGGTAAACACCTTTCGCGGGGGATAAGCCAACTTTCTCCGACCGCGCGCGCAAGAGCCCGTATTAATTTGGGCGTGCGCCGAGCAAGAGAGCGCCTTAAACGAATTCCTTGATTAAAATCTAAAACGAGATATTCCGCGTCCCCGGCGCGTCGTGATTTGATATGGATGCGAGTGTCACACCCGTCCGACAGTCGCCCGCCACATTCATAAATTTGCACTTTTTATTTCTCGGTGTTAAAAAAAAAACAACACACACACGCACACACACACACAAACACAACTTGTTCACCTTCATTAAGGACTGCAAACCACCGGCAGGCTCCGCCTCCCCCCTGTCCCCTCACCTCGCTGTCCACGCCGCGATGACAAAACGAATAAAAGCGAAGCGAAATCAAACCACGGCGCGAAGCGGGCCTATAATCCCGCAGCCGAGCCGCCCGGCCGAACACTAGTCCAACTACCTACTGCGGCTCTACAGAGGAAATTAAGATTTGATGGAAAAAAACGTTAAGTTACAAAGTCGAAGAACCGTCAATTGGCGGCAAAAAGGTGACCGTTGGAAATTTCTGAACTTAAAAAGTTGTGAAAGTACAGAACACCGTCCCAAAATCGAAAATTACAAACGAATATTTCTAACCATTTATAGCAACTGACATTGTGATTTTTAATGTCTTTAAAAAATCCGCTCAGACTTGGGCGAGTCATTACAACACCTCATCCCAGCAATGTGGGACTTCCCTTGCCGAAACCGCGCAGGGCAAGAGCGGGACCAGCGGGGTGCAGCGGCGTGGAGTGAGTGGGTCAGTGAGGCAGTAAAACTCCTTTCCGGATGCAGGCAGACGACGCACAGCTACCGCCGTTCAGGGGTGGGGAGGGGAGGCAAAAGGCGTCGAGAATCGTAGGGCGGAATGCATCCGACTACTCTGCATCTTTCTGCGCGCGGGCTGGGGCTGCGCGAGCGCGCGCGCGCACACACACACACACACACACACACACACACACACACACAAGCACGCGCAAACGCGCGCGTATCCTGTTTGCAGCAGACGCGGGGGATCTTTTTGAGAGTTATGTCTCGCCCACGAGTAGACTCCACTATAAAAAGCTTTTCTTTTCTAGTGTACATTTCATAATGCGTGACTTGTACAAAACTGTTACTTGTTACTTACTCAACGAGAAATAAGTCAAATGTAACCATGATCGCAACTCGAAACCTTAAAGATTTTTTTTTTATACAACATAGTAATTTTACTTTTTCTCGTTCTTTACTTCCCTCTAAACCTCACTTGAAAGGGGAACAAAAAGTACTGTTTTTTAGTATACTGAATATTTTATAACCCCCAAAAAGATAAGTCGCAAGAGAAAATCAAGCCTGAAAGGCAGAGCGATATTTTTAGCTCAAATAAGGTGTCACTGTCATGAGGCTCCCCCCACCCACCCCCCCGCGCCGGCGCCAGGAGTCGAATGGCGATGCGATAGGTTCGCGGCGACGGCTTTGACCACGCTGATGGGGAGCACGAGGTGAGGTGGGGTGAGGTTAGGTGGGTTCAGGCGGTATAAGGGGTTTAAGGGGAGTATAAGGGGGGGGGCGAGGGGGCGATCGCCCCCCCCCCCCAATCGTCTCTAGGGAGCCGCCTGAAAGGTAGGCAATTTGTGCTACAAAACCCCTGTATGTAGGCAACCCACAGTGCATCCCCCCCCCCCCTGTCGCCCCCTCCTTATACCGCGCCTGGGTGGGTTGAGGTTGGTCTGGGCGAGGCGAGGCGAGGAGAGGCGGGGCGGGGGAAGCAGGGGATGAATATTATTCGCGCCCGGGGGACGGACAACAACGGCAGTCTGCTGTTTATGCAAAAGTCATTAGGCCGGCCCGAGGGGACCGCGGCCACCTCCTACCGTGCTGGTGCTGCCGCCGTGCTGCCGCCGTGCTGCCGCCGAGCAGCCGAGGCGCCGACGTTTCGATTAAAGTGATACAAGACTAACAAGCGGACTTGGCCTCCGCTATGAGGCGCGTCCGAAGCGTCCGCACGCGAATGAGTTATTGGGTGTCACCCGCCTGATGGAAAGGGTGCAAGCGCGCGCGCTTCAACCGCAAAACTCCAGCGCTAAGACGAGGGAAAAAACAACAACAAACAACCACGAGCGCGCGCGCACTGCGCAGGATTGTGATTTAATGACAACATTCCGAATCAGAGAGATGGATAGATGGATTGAGGGAGAGAGGGAGAGAGGCAGACAGACAGACGGGGGGGCCTCCTACTGAGCTGTCATTGGCCCGCCGAGCCTCGCCAGTCGCCCCCGGCCATACACGGGCCGGTGTCGCCTGCAGCTGCCATTCGCCATTGGCGTCGCATGTCTCGCTATTGGTCCGCTATTTCCACGGCCGTTCCGCCGCTGCCGATGCCACTGCTGCACGGCACAAACAAAAAGAAATCGAACGAAAAAAATGCAAACAAACAATAATGCTGGAGTAGCGTAGGCCTACTGTGTTCGTTGAGTCTATCCTTTCTATAACTGAACTATTCCTTGTGAAATTTTTTCATTATTCATTAATTATCCCCCTGGAGGTTAAATTTCTCTACAGAATACAAAACTACCACATGGCTAATGTTCGTTTTTCTCACACGAGAAACGTCAGCAGCAGCACAGCAATAAAAAAACGATTTTCGTTTACAACCAGATAATAATAAACAACTATAGCGAAATGCACGGGCGCACACGACAGGCTGTGCGACGCAGTTTGTATCTCCCGCCGCTCCCGCCCGCCCGCGCCCGGCTGCCGCGTATACCGTTTGGCGAGATCTCGAGAGATATGCCGCGCGCCGCCCGATCAAATTGAGCCGTTCCGAGCCTTAAGGGAGGACTCGAGGCCCGCCGCCGCCGCTGCAGGCCGCGCGCTCGCTCGCGAGGCGTAATTGGACGGCCAGGAATCCCGCATGGCACGGGCGGCAATTTCAAAAAATAAAAATAATCACGCGCAAAAAAATTTAAAACAAGAGTACGTGTGGAATCAGATGACTTAAAAGAAAGAACGTAAACTGTGATTTAAAAAAAGTGTACTGCTGGCTGTTTATGCACAGTGTAAGGGCTAGAGAGAGGAAACACTGGCAGTTGGATAGGGATGCGCGCGCGTCCTTTACATGGGCCATTTCACTCAGCGCCACAGCGGGGGGGGCGGGCAGCAGTAAGATGGCAAAGGG